TTGCATTGTTATTCCTGGTAAGATAAACGTCTTAATAACTGAGATAGATAAGAAGAGATTACACAACGTAAAGGGGAGGAAGCCAAGACGACAAGTGAAAATACTAGACGATCACGAGGCTACTAATTGTGTAGTAAGAAAAGATGCATTGGTCATACGTAGGATGTGGCGACTGGTTTTTAATTGTTGTCCGCTCTCCACGTCTGACAGAAAGACTCATGGTACTACAATATCATTACTCAGTGTGTTAGTTAAAATATTCGAAAAATGCATTTATAAAAATGTCTTCAACTTCCTAAGGGAGAATTCTGTTCGAACTAACCTCCACAGCTGCTTTTTACACACCTTTTTACACACCTTTTTACCAACTTACCGATATCGCATACTACTTTTGTCAAGCCATTGACCAGGTATTCTACATGAGAGCAGTGTTCTGTGACATATCGGCGGGACGATTTACCCAATACTACCCAATACCACTCCAATATCACCACACAAATTTAATACTACAACAAATGGTGCAAAATGAGCATATTACTTGATTTTTTTCAAAAATAGTGAGATATATCATGGGAAATGTACTTCAAATGTGATTAACGATGTCTGACTGTTCCATTTGCCTCCCTATATCACCCAAATCAAGCAAATAATAACCCAATACTACCAAATACTTATCAAATACTACCCAATATTATAAAATACAAACCTAATATCGTCAATTAGCAGCACATCAGTATAATAATTGCAACGAATATTCGATAATTTGCAGAAAATTGAAATATTTATGCAGTTATCTCCCTTTACAACCGATAAATAGATTAATCATCTTGTTGGGCTTTGCAGTTTTGTTTTCAAGACGATGAAGGAAAATAAGGAAAACAAATTGTTATAGATGCCCTCGCTATAGTTTGTTCATCCAATACTACGCGTAAAAAGCATATCAATATATAACATAACATAAAATAAAAAGAGTTTTAAAAGAAATTAACAAAGATTTTAAAATGCATTAAAGTAAAATCAGTTTATAAAATAAACAGTCAAAAATTCAAATAAAATAGTATTTTAGAGGTTGATTTAAAAATGTCCATTTAACCATCTCTTGGCCTACTCAAAAGTCTTCTTATACTATTTTTCTTCATGCGGTCCTGTAAAAAATCATTTGGGTATAATATGTCAGGAAAGCACACAAATTTATCTTTATGTCTGTCTTTTAATTACTTATTAACGTGTTTCCTTTGTCTTTTAAATGATTCCGGTTCCAAACTAGACGTCTTTGAAAATCTCCTCTTGTCAAAATTTCACTCGGCCAATTGTTCGAATATTGTCACTATTGAACAAATTCTAATTATTCTACGGTATATATCCACAGGTGACGATGTCGCGGAGATTTCATTACTACCTGCTAAAGACCTCTATACGCACAAGCGAATTATTGAAATATAGACCTGAAATGACCTAGTTTGTGTCGAGTGGACGTTAAATCCCACTGTGTAAATGTGTAATGCTCTACTCGTATATACCCGGCGTAACAATTAATCAACGGGGTTAAAGTTAAGTTCTGGTTTATTTATATTATCAAAGAAACCGACAGAGCTGTATAAACAGGCCGAAAATGATAGTTTTGATGAACTGAGAAGTGTCGTGTCAAGCATAACACACTTGAAAGAAATGTGCAATTTCGTTAATTTTAAAATAACACATCGTGCAGTAAGTAAAAATGCAATAACTTAATAGTTGACATGAAAAAATGAATATAAACATTATGCAATTTCTTTTGTTAAAGCATTAATTTGAAAATAAATACAAACAATCGACACTATCTAGGTAATTTCGGGACTAACATATAGTTCAATATTATTTCATTAACTCGCTTGCGCGAAGGGGTGTTTAACAGTGAGACGAAACCAGGGGACCAGAGAAAACCCACCTTGTTTGACAGACGACCCCACTCCTTGTCACTATCAAGCGGTAAGAGAGAGGTGGGTCATTTTAGGAATAAAATATGCTATATCGTCATACTTGTTTTTCTTATTTTAAGTTTGTCGTCTTGGAAACCAAGGGGAAAACAGGGGAAAACTTGTTTTGTCTGCTTAGAAAGTTGAAGTACAGTAATGTTGTTACACTATCACTGAACACCTGAAAACTACAGGCCGCAATTCTTAACGCATCGTCTTGAAACTTTGCATACTTATTCCTTATACGCTAAGGATGTTTCCTATTGTTTTTGGTGAATGCCCAACCCAGGTCAGAGTCACACCCATTTTTCTTTGTATGTCTGTGTGTGTTTTTTATGCCTACGGACGGCAATTATTAAAGGATTGTCTTGAAAACTATTCATATATTCATATATATATATATATATATATATTCTTTATACCCAAAGGGAAACTGTTATGTTTTTTGGTGCGTGCCCGACCCCAGGGGCACAGCAACACCAGATTTTTGTGTTATCGTCCACAGGCTGCAATTCTGAACTTTTGGTGCATGCCCTACCCCTATCATGTTCTAGGATGATCGATTCAGAATTGCTGCCCCTAGGCGATAAACATAAAAGAAATGGGCATTTCTGTGCCCCTGGGGGTTGGACATGCACTAAAAATAATAGCGGTCATCCTAAAGGTATAAGGAATAAGTATGAAAAGTTTTCAAGATGATCAAAACACACAGCCACACAATGAAAAAAATAGAGGGGCTCTGCCCCTCGGGGTTGGTCATGCACAAAAAACAATAGTGATCATTCTTAGGGTATAAGGAATAAGTATGCACAACTTCAAGATAATCCGTTAAGAATTGTGGCTTGAAGGCGACAAACTGACACATACAAAAATTGAACATGACTCTCTGCCCCTGGGGGTCGGACACACACGAAAAACAATAGGGAACATCCTTAGGGTATACATAGTTTCAAGATGCGTTAAGAATTGCGGCTTGTAGTTTTGAGGCCTCTAGTGATAGTGAAACTACATAAGGCCTTTTGTACTTCAACTTTCTAAGCAGACAAAACATGTTTTCACCTGTTTTTAAAGCAAAACTAAATTGAAACAATACTCCCTGGATCCCAAAAGAGTCTTTATTCTTATTCTATGTTAAGAGTTGATCTAAAATGACAAATATGAGGGGTTTAAGTCTTCCCGAAATAATTTTAATCTGATCGTCAAAACCCATTATTCCAATTCGTGAAGCATATTAACCATTTTGTTCTCATTTTGAATGCAAAATAAAATTAGAACAACACAATCTACATCCAAAATGATTACATATTTGTAAACAGACATGTTTGAGGAGTATAGGTCATTTAGAAGTTATTTTAAAATCATCGTGAAAAATCAACAATTTGGATAACAGCCATTAAAACTTAATTACTGCCAATTAAAAATATAAGCCATCAAATACACAAGGGTAATTGAAGTTTTATTATCAAACTTTTTCAGAATTTTAACCTCTGTCCCCCATGGCCAAAATTGAAGGTGAAAATGGGTATAATTATTATACTTGGAAAAGTATATATCCCATCGCGTTAGAATCTTTTGTAAATTGATATAAGACAAACTGACATTAACTATGCCAATTTAGGAGTTAGTGACTTTGCCATCTGTAGAAATCCTGAAAATAAAAGTGAATAGTTCATTTGTTCCACATTTTGCCACCTGGTGGCGCGAACAGTATGCATTGGACAATGAGTGTGATGCTAAATTCATAATCTACACTAAAAGTTTTCTTAGATTACAAAGTAGTCCTACTCCTATTAGAAATGTAAGTTTAAAGCATCCAAAAACCTGAAGAAAATGACTGAATTTGTGATCCGTTTTAGTACCCTAATTTCAAATGGCCATATCTCAGCGAGTTTCCAACCTAGAGAGGTAAAATTTCGGATTTCTTAGTTTAAGGCCATGTACTATAACATATATTTTTTACAATTTTTTTGGAGGGGGTCGTGTTCCCACCATTGGTTCAGTTGACATGGAAGACCCAAATGTAAAATGTAATGAGAGAAATGTAAAATGTAAACACGTCAAATTTGTTATTTGACACATTGCATTTGACTTTTTATACGCCCACATTTTCATGTGGAAGTATTATGCTGTCGCCCCTGTTGTCCGGACGTCCGTCAACAATTCGATTGTGGACACTCTACAGGTCACACTTTTTATCCGATTTCAACGAAACTTGAAATATAGGTTTATCTCCCTAAGATCTCGGTTCCTTTCGATATTGACATGTATCCGACCGTAACTTCATGGATTATGGCCCCTGATTGTACGAAAAATCGTGTTTTTAGCATGTGGACACTCTAGGTCACAATTTTGATCCGATTTTGATGAAAATTGAAATGCATGTTTATAACCCAAAGATCTTGGTTCCTTTCGATATTCGCGCATATCGGATAGTAACTTCTTGGTTTATGGCCCCTGATTGGTCGAAAAATCGTATTTTTAGCTTTTGGATTCTCTAGAGGTCACAAATTTTTTTTTCGATTTTAAAAACCGTTTAGATCACCATTCCACCATAATGAAGGTTGAATTGGAATTTCAGGAAAATCGAAATGAAACTGCCTGACAAAATGTTCACTCTTTGTATGCAATTTGTATATAATGTAAGTATGTAATTCAAAGGTTATGGACCCTCTAGAGGTCACAATTTTTATCCAATTTTGATGAAACTGCCAATATATTTTTATATTCCAAAATCTCAGTCCCTTTTGATATTTGTGCATTTCAGACCATATTTTTCCGGATTATGGCCCCTGATTGTAGAAAAAATCATTTTTGTTTTTAGCTTGTTCTCTATCCATCTCTTGCAAAATGTGGGCGTATCCTGCCTGGCAGCCGCTGGTTACATTTAACTTTGGTCTTAGAGGTATTTTGACTTTATGATAATCAGTATTAGGACTTTGTACATTGTACTTTTTACATATAATTAATATTGGCAGTGATACCTTTACATATGTTTTGTCTGATTAGCATCACCAGCTGATTTTGATTATAATTGTTTATTTACAGGCATGTTGTTGTAGGAAGCCCAAGAAAGAACAATATATTGAAGATACACTTGATAATGTATCATCTGGCTCCAACAAGGTAAGAATAACAGTTGTCCTTATTTTATTTGGGCCCGTCTTTATTAACCCAGTCAGTGCAGAACAGTAGGATGTTAAACCCTAATTTCATTTCATTTATTTTATTTGGAGTGAACATTGACCCGTGATCGTAAAACTGTGTGGCATTATTACAGTTCTGGTGTAGGCTATGTGTCAGGAACTATTCTAATCTTTTGGGCAAACCACAAAAAAGCAAAACTTGCATAGTGAACTAATAAGTAAAGTCCACCAAACACCTACAAGTTTTGTCGCAGATAATTAGCTACACTAGCAATGCAATATTTCTTTTTCCTCTGGGGTGAAGCATCATCTTTCATTAGTATCATTACAATGTCCATTGAACACCTCAAGTAGCTATAATGGCTGAGTAAGGCACTGGTTCACTTACCTGGAAACGCCAATGTCCGGGCAACATTTACCTTATGCTCGCTACATGGTGCATGAATGTCTTCATTAGCCTGGATGGTACAGATACGTAGACTTTAAACCCGGTTCCATTTCAGTGCATTTCATTTGAACACCTCACAGATGGTACTGGATGTTTTAAACACTTATTTGTCATCGCTGATGGCTAAATTAAGCGATAATAGCAATGTTCTTCATGTGTTTGGGTGGGGCTGACAAGGAATGTGTGAATAGATGTTCAGATGCAAATATGCCAATCTGTATGTAGTGCGTGAAAAAATCCTTCAGTAATTGGAAGAAGGCCGAAAGACAGCTGACATTGCCCCCCCCCCCCAGCCCCCCGTGTGTCAGTGCGACATAAATCTATTTCATTCCTGTATATGTAATAATTAAATAGTAATATATACGTTATATAATGAAACCTGTTCATTTTTAATAGTCCAGTCCACAGCCTCCGTTTGGTGTGAGTAACCAGTTGTACATGACAGACAGCAACAAGAGCCTCTCTAAGCTTCATTTTGATGAAGATTTTGAAAGTGAGGTTGTGAAATACAAACTATAAACACAACCTGAAATTATTCAATTTAAGATAGAATTTATTATTGAAAACCAGTTTTGTATATTACAAATATTAGAAGTAATATTTCTGTTTATTTAGAACTAACATAAATGCAACATTTATCTGTCATATCAAACAAGACTATAGATACTAATCATGGTATTAATATTGTAAATTTTAGTTTCATTTTTATTGAAATGTGGTCGTTTATTGTCGTTGCCCCCGTCCGTCGGTCTGGCGCCCACAGTTGCCCGTGGACACTCTAGAGGCTGGAATTAATAAACGACTGACTTTAAATGCATACACAATGTTTAAGGTCATGAAACGAAGAAACCTATTGAATTTCAACAATGTCCAATAATTACTGCCAGAGTTATGGCTCTTGATCAAGTTGAAATATCTTGTGGATGCTCTAGAGGCTAAAGTTAATAAAACGCAGAAGCTTATTGATTTTCAATGATTTCTGATAGTTACTGCCTGAGTAATAGCCCTTGATCACTCTAAGAATTCTTGTGGACGTTCTGGAGGCTAAAGTTAATATCCAATTTACTTTAGATTTATACACAGTGTTTAATTTAAGGTCATTCAATGAAGAATCTTATTGAATTTCAATGATTCCTGATAATTACAGCCAGAGTTATGGTCCTTGATCACTTTGAAATATCTTGTGGGCGCTCTAGAGGCTAAAGTTAATATCAGATTGCCTTTAAATTTTTGCACCGTGTTTAAGGTCATGCAACAAAGAATCTTGTTGACTTTCAATGATTTCCGATAATTACTGCTATAGTTATGACCCTTGACCACTTTGAAATATCTTGTGGACGCTCTAGAGGGTAAAGTTAATATCCGATTGACCTTAAATGTATACAGAGTGTTTAAGTTCACAAAAAGAAGAATCCTATTAAATTTCAACGATTTCCAATAATTACTTCCATGGTTATGGCCCTTGAACACTATGAAAAATCTTGTAATTACTGCCAGAGTTAAGGTCCTTGAGTAAAGGTCCTTGATCATTTAAAATATCTTGTGGATGCTATAGACGCTAAAATTGATATCCGATTGACTTTAAATTTATACACAGTGTTTAAGGTCTTGAGACGAAGAATCCCATTGATATTCAACGATTTAGAGGCTAAAGTTAATATCCGATTGATTTTATATTTACACTGTGATTAAGGTCATGAGACGAAGAAGCCTATCAATTTTCAACAATTTTCGATGATTATGGCAATTGATATTAAATGTTTTGCATGTTAAATGTTAGAATAGGGTAGAACTAGAAGCCATATGGGTTGTTACTCGTAATCAGATTTTAGTAGTGTTGTAAATGTTTTCATTTCTGACAAAAGAAAAATTATGCGACAACTCTTGTTGACTCTCCGGAAGACTTAGCTGCTGTGGGAGTATGTTTCGTTGCCTGGCAACCTATCTTTTTATATTTTGTAGACCTTTTAGACCAAGTTTTGTTATAACCCAAAATCATAATTTTATACAATATATATTCCTATTTGAAATGTTTTATTTTGAAAATTACCAGTTTCCTCATTCCTTGATCTACGTAACAGTAGTAAAAATATAACTTTCTTTTTTCTAAACCGGTTTTATAGTATGTGTTTTTTTTATATATTCTAAATAAAATATTCTTAAAGATACATTAGTTAAGAGTTTTATAAAGAGTTGGCCATTCTTGCTATAATAATGTTTAAAAAATACATGATAAAGAAAGAAAATGTTGAAAATTTCAGTCAAATTACTTTGATCTGAACAGAACTATCACTCTTTGAAGTTTGAACTAGAAATAGGCATCAATTGTGTCTGCACCGTCTGTGAGAATTTGCTATCGTTTGATTAACAGACGATAACTCCATGCGCATATTCTTGATTATCAAGTAACATGCTCAATGGCTATGGTAGCCTCGCTTGGCAGGCCTTTCATCACCAGTTAGCTTGGTCTGCCATTTATTGATTTAATTTTAAATTGATGACTGTTTCAATCCAAACTGTATCCAAGCCATCCCTGGGTCTACAGAGTTGATTTTCAGCTTGTCGTGTAAAGGTCTAATTAATAATTTCTCTAACATCTGAAGCCTAAATAAAGACTCGCAATAGGCAGAATTAGCTCTTGCATAATGTATGTTTAAACTTTTTATGTCTAAATGTCTCAAGTTTTGAAAAATGTATGAAGACAAAAGTTGTAAATATAAGCTACTTATTTGTCATATTATATGTTTTCGAAATTATACATTGTTGACAAATGAATATATTTCCAAGGCTGTGCTACTTATGCTACATCTAATTAAATGATAAAGGGCTTTTGTGCTCTCTGCCCTGGAACTAAGACAATCTTAAAACAAATAACAAACACAAGATAGTTGGTGTGAAAATGTCAATTTATTCAATGATAACTGAAGGACATGTTCTGAGAATAATTAAATATAATTAGATTGCATTAAAGATATGTGAATATTGAAAGCTATCAAGCAATTACCCGAAGAACCTCATACTTCTGTGGATCAAATAATCGTTGGGCTGAATCGAAACCATTTAACCGGCCAGACACAACTCTAAACACATCCCAATTGAGCTGTTGTGTACAACAACAGACAAATCACACCAACCACCTTAATAAACAACGAGCAAATGAACGGTAACAATTTATTTTACAAAATTCAGAATGGATATAGAATAATACGCTTAAGAAAAATGAAGAAAGTAGTAACACAATTCGATAATAAAAGACAGCTGATATAATGAACAACATGTGAAATTGAAATATCTTAAGATTGACATGATATAAGGCACATGAGGCATAGGTAGAATAATTAATGATTAGACATGATTTGTTTGTGATTCTTATATTTACAGTTATATTTAGTGGCAAAGTGGGTAAGACGCTGGCTCCGCTAACCTGGAGGTCGGGTGTTCATCCCTGCATTGTCCGAGAAAGTTCATCCAGATTTTCCAGCGTGGTTCCTCCTTGTCAGTGATGCAGGATGGAGGGCCTGACAAGGACAGCTGTTTAGTCTTTCGGATGATACGGAAAACCAAGGTCCCGTGTATATATTGGAATGCACGTAAAAGATCCCCTGGCAGTTGGAATTCGATATAAGAGTAATGGGTTCACCACATCTATTCAAATAATAAATTCAGTCTCTTTCGACCAAGAACGGTTTTGAAATTATATCTAGATTGATATTGTCTAAATTATTGTATGGCTAAATATGTAAACTAATTAATGGCAGCATCATTAAGATATCCCCAGATAAAATGATACTGAAATTTCAGTGAAATTTGAAAATTTTGCCCAATCTCACTGAAATGACCACATTGTCACCGAAATTTCACCAAAATTTAACTGAGATAAAAATATGTTTTGGTCTAGTACTGAAATTTCACTAAAATGAAAAAAAAACCTGGTCTACTGAAATTTCAGTGAATTCAAAAAAATTTTTGGGTCTAAAATTTCACTGAAATTTTTATTTGCAATTTCAATGAAATTACAAAACATAAAAATGGCATTTTTTCATTGCAAATATTTTAATAACTGCATATAAGGATTTTACAAAGAATAGTGTGAAAGAGAACACTTGGAAATTATAATAGTGTCAGAAGATGAAAGTCCATGTTTTTTTCTTTGTATACATTTAAATTATCACAAATTCTGAAATGGGAGAAAAAAATAATAATTGAAACCTATAAATTAATTAATCACGTTATTTCTAAAGCAGACAATTTAACTGACGTGTTTATTCGTCGATCGTCGTGCGTAATCCACGAACACGTTTTAAGTAATATTAACTACATGGTTAAAATCATATCTAAACTTATGAATAAATCAACATCAAAATTTTTACCGACATTTTCCGATTATAGCCATATTTGGAAACGAGGTCATCAATCACGGCACGCAATGACGTATTTATATATATATTACCTATACCGCGCACATGTTCAATCTTGACAGCATACCACTACCAGTCATAACCTTTGGTTCCGACAGACGGCGGGAAATGTGGTAAGAGTAACAGTAAGTAGCCTGCAGTTTCTTAATCTTTTAAGCCTGCCAAGAAAGTTCATCCAGATTTTCCGGCATGGTTCCCCCTTGTCAGTGATGCAGGACGGAGGGCCTGACAAGGACAGCTGTCTAGTCCTTCGGATGAAACGAAAAACCAAGGTCCCGTGTATACATTGGAATGCACGTAAAAGATCCCTTGGCAGTTGGAATTCGATATAGGAGTAGGCGATAGTGCCGCTGCCCGGGCGAAATTTCCCTCATAGCACACTGTATGGCATATGCCCGTCTTCATTAGCCCAGTATAGGAGCAGAATAGTAGGACGTTAAACCCCATTTCATTTCATTTCATTTGTTTGTTTATTTATTATGATCACATCATGATATGATGTTGTGTGTACCAATAGAGATGAATACAAAATCAAATAGATCTTGTCAATGGCAAAATTTTCATATGGCAGGCGTCTTTTCAACGGTAGGCCCAACTTTTATGATATTCATATAGATTTTATCATTACCCATACTTGAATTCGAACATCACTAGGCTTATATTAAGTCTGTGTGTGTCTTCATTAGAATAGCTTTCAAAATTTTCAATAATATTTAATTGATCAAAACTAAAATGCATCATGTAATGTCTACATGTTAGTGTAATAATACTGTCTACTGCTTTCCAGCAACACAGACTGCAACGCACAGCAAACAAGTTGCTCCATTACAGGTACCCTGTAGTCGCCTTTTACAACGCGCAGGACATACGATGGGTATATTCTTATCACCCTCTACACCCCGTGGGACCAAAATATAAATTTATTGAAAATCGGATAAGAATTGTAAGACCAGATAGATTTTAAAGATTGACATACGTTTTCAAAATGGTAGCACTTACGGTCAATTATAAGTTGATGAGATTACTCTAAAGGGGGGCTTATGTCGACTTTGCAACTGGGAGCAACTGAGAGCAACTGAGAGCAACTAGTTGCAAGTGTGCTCATGTCGATCAAATCGGCAACTGAAAGCGACTGAAATCCGAGCGCTTTTGTCGACGTAGAACTTGTACCAATTACACATTACACATGATTTGTATCATGTGATCAAAAACATGGATAATCGTAAAAACGAAGTGAGTATTAGCCTAGTAAATATCATCATTTAATAAGTTCATAGGACATACGTATTGTGTATGTTTGTTTGGTTTATATCTTTGCCTCCTTCGCGAAGGCTTTTAATATGAAAACTTAAAGATACATTATGGGAGATTCGATAACGAGTTAGCAGTTCTCACTATAATAATTAAAAACTAGATAACGTAAAGGCAGTTTGCTGAAAATTTCATTCAAATTGATCCACTATGAACCGAGAATGAAGCGAATGAAATTTCTGCCTAGCCCCGGTCATCATTACTAATGTCAGTACGATAAACAGCATAGTCTCAATTATCCATATAATCGTTTAATCAAGAAGGACAGTTATGCAGTAAATCGGCTCACAATCCACTTAAGATCGCAGGCTAGCGATGCCATCTAGAGTTGATTATGGTCTGGATAAGTTAATTAATGTCTAATTAATAATTTAGATAACATTTCAGGCCCAAAAAATGACCTGCAATAGACAGATTTAGCTCTTGCATAATGTATGTTTAACGAAGCCTAGTAGGCCTATGCCTAATGTTCTTCATGCGAGTTACATCCACAGACGGCACTGGCTGCAACTAGCTCAGTAGCTGAATAGATTATATTGTGGAGTAGAATATGTTGAATTGACAAATTACCATCTTTATATTTCAGTCCATAAGACTCCTTATCAATGCTTGCATATTCGAACAATATGTCGTTGATACCGTGTGGTTGGAAGGTTTTTAATCTTATAATCCAATGTAATTCAATTGTACGTCTGTTGGTAGTAGAAGTATAAAGCTCAGGGTCTGTGCCAAGTTGTTTGATAATTTGGTAGTCGAGGTTTCGGCTAGAATGTCTCGGTAAATTGAAGTGGGAGGCGACTGGGGTGTCTCTCCTGTGGGTGATATCAGTGTAGTGTTCCTTCAGCCTAATGTGGAATAGTCTCTTCGTTTCACCTGTGTATTGCTTGAGACAAAGATTGCAAGTAAGAAGATATATTACATTCTTGCTGTGGCAGGTCCAGTTGTTGGGACATTTGTACGTTTTGCCAGTTTGAGTGGAACAGAACGTGGTCTTTGGTTTGAGTGTGTTACAATATTGACAATTGGCTAAGTTGCATATAGTGTCTAGGTATGCGTAACTCTTTCCACTGACTTGAGGTTTTCGTGTGTTTTTTTTGTATGGTGGCTGATCTTAAAATGTCTTTTAGGGAGGGGTTCCGTCTAAAAGCTGTAAGGCAAGGAAGGGGGAAAGCCCTAAATCAGTCCTGGGAGCTAAAGAGAATGTGCCAGTTGTCCTTAATAAGTTTGCTGATATATACTGAAGAAGGATTAAAATCCGTAATAAATACCAGGAGTTTGGTAGCCTCGACCATGGTTTTAGGGGTGAGGAGATTGATCCTCTGAATGGAATCGGCTTTGGTTCTATTAGATTTAATAATATCTCTTGGGTAGCCCCATTGGAGATAGTAAAGTTCCAGTTTGTCTGCATGTTTAATATAATCTGTGTTGCTTGTGCAG